TGCTTAATAAATACTTAAGTTTAAATAATTATGCTTACAGCAGTGGGTACTGCAGGCATTACTGACCACAGACTAAATTTAGCTGATCGTGCAATGAGAATTCATTGGTATTTCGTTGTTTGTACGATAAATTCATTTTCTTGCTCTTTAATAAGCAGTGTACGACTATGTAACTGAAAAAATAAAATGATAGCAATCTCTTAGAAACCGAATAGTGCAAAATGTCGCTAGGCCTTTTAATAAACGTATTCTCGACATTTTCACAAATAATGCTACATGGCTAATTTTATTTTCTGTGACTTGATTGAGAAAAAGGGTGAAATTCATATATTTTGGTCCATATAAATTCAGACATAAAAGTATATTTACTAAAAAAAAAATTAGGTCTACCTCCAGGTACATTATAATTTACCGGAAACGTAAAAAGTGAAGATATGTATATATGAACATTAGAAAAATCTTAATTTTTTCACAGATGTTTTTTTTGAATTGCATTTATGGAAAACTAAATTCTATGTGCGGATTGTCATTAAATAATGGATATAGCCTGCTGAAATAGTCCTGTGAAGAAAATAACTCAGCTGATTGCATACACTTAAATATTGTTTCGCAATAATTTGTGGAACATTTTATCAAGTTTCCAGCTTTCGTGTTGATATCACAAAAAAAGTATAAATAATGATTGGTGATTAAACTCTGAATACTGCAATTAGGGATCTTTTACAAAGAAATGTGTATATTTTGCTCGATATCATTATTTCAAGTAGTTTAATCTAGGATTGCGTTTTGGTGCATATATCCCTGAAGGCACTGAACATACGGTAATGTTTCCTCTACGATTATACAACATATGTTGGTACTTATTAGTCAATATTGCCATTTTCATTTCACCATTTAGCACGAATCTGCCATTTGTATTGTTTCCGACATATTGCCCACGTGCTGGCCTCCTTTGCAGTACTGGCCAGACCTCAAATCGAGGGGAAAGAACAGGGCCGACCTTTATAAACGAGATGCAACCGGTACTGGGGGTGGTCCAGCACAGGTCACCTCATTGTCTTGGGTGGACCATCGAGTGTTAGCTCTCATTGGAGAAGCTGCTGCTTTTGGGGACGCATAACACAAAGTTCCCCTCTTTGTAAGTAACTGTCACATGTATAGATATGATATATAAAAACTTTTGATGGTAATACTGGATATCTCCTGAAGATCTATAGCGATCGATTACTTTGAAAGTAGTTGTTACGTAATACAAGAATTTTGGCTGTCTGTAAAATTGATGTGAGTAATTCGACCTAATCCGACCATATTGTCTAACAGAGCAGTCCTTAGGATATTTGACCTTGTTTAACGTTTTATCAGTACGGTGGTCAGGTCCGGTTGCCCATATACCATACAAAGTCAAGTAGAAAGATGGCACAACCTGCAACATTCCCAAAACAAATTAATACTGCAACAAATGCTTCATTTGTCTATACTATTGATGACCTTTATATGATATTGACATTATTACCAGTATTAATAGTATTAGCAATATGTTTATGAATTATATTGATTGACAAATGGTTGCTTGTAGGGTAACGAAGTAACCCGTCCCCCTTTAAGTGAAGGAAGTGCAGAAGGTGATTACCATGCACAGAAGATGAATAAAATCTTTATTTACATTACGTTATTTGATTTTCCAGTGTAACTTTTGCTATAAGGTAGTTACTTGGGAAATAGTTGTAAAAATTATATTGGTATTTTTGTTGTTATTTAATTTGATACTAATAATTTATCACTTTTAGATAATCCATCAACCTCAGCCCAGCCTACTGCTGCAGCGGCAGATGAAGCTGTGACGGCCTCACCATCTGATTGGATGGCATAGTCAAAAGTAATACGAATGATGATTAAACGTCAGGCGTATATGTATACAGGAATTTAAGATTATTGGAAAACGTTAAATTTGAATTTCCATGAAATGTTTAAGTTGAATTATCGCAAAGCGGTACTACATTTTAGTTACAGAAAATTACTATGTAAGACTAAAACTTCTAACTAGAATCATTATTCAATCGTTTATTATACATGCTATGCAAGATAAGGCAAATTCATGTCTTTTGTAATGGTGCTTGCCCCCCTCTATCGAGGTGCGAGTCCTCGAGTGGGTGGTCCTCGACCCTTAAAGCGACAAAGAACTCTTAGTAGGACAACAAGTAGGAGTAAGTATATACTACTCACTAAATGAATTATATACTTAGTAAATGTTCAAAAATAACTTTTAAATAAAAGACACGTCGCTTTTCATTGTCAATAATTATAGCTACACGTCTTTCGCCTAATATGTCATACTTATTATAGGTCAAATAGGAAAACCGAATTAACTTTTAGTTGTTCTGAAATGAACTCCACTTCATAATCTATTTGCAGGAGTCGTGGTAATATTGTTATATTATCATTAATTAGTGGTTGCCAATGGGTTAAGCATTCCATCAGCACTTGAATGGTAGCGAACCAAATATCTCAGCCAGGATAGTTTAGTTAGAATCACTTCAATCGCCATTATTGTAATATTATCAACGCAAACAGTTACATATATTTGGATGCCTTGCAAACTTTATAGTGAATAACTTACTCTATACCTTCAGTTAAATTAGATACCTGTTCTGTTAGAGTGTTCATATTTTTTTTTTACTTAACTACTATAATGACTGTTAAAATCAGTAGTATCTGTACGATGTCAAAGTTTTTAAGTTACAATTTAATATATAATTACAACAGGTTGCAAACATCAAACTTGTAATGCCGAAGGTAAAATGGCCGATGCTACGAAGACCATGGCAGAGGCCAGCAAACTGCATGCAGAGGCCAAAAAAATAAAGCTGCTTTTAATAAATAAAATAAAAAGTACATCAAAAATATTTTTTTCGATTGGAAATATTTAAACGATTATCATGCTCCCGAAATAGCATTTTGTTAAAATGGGCTACCACCCACGAAAATTAACTCATATATTTATGAAATTTTAATGATAATACCCTTGAATGATGTTCTCAAACTATGAGTTGTCTTCAGAGTTAAATCCATTGTCAAAAATTAGTAACTACCCAAATGGTACCGTAGGGCTTTATTGAGTATTTTAATGGTGCGTCAAAGCTGTGAAACACAGTTGGTTTTTCAATAAACCTCAAGGTTATAATAAACTCGCCTTCAGCGTAAAAGGGACCGCACTGAAAGCGGTCGATAAATGAAACCTTTATTATCTTGAGCTACTGTTTTTAAGGTTGCTGGTGAAGGCGCCTTAAAATTCCTCAGGTTTTACTATTAAAAGAAAGAAAATGCGATAAGCGCCAGTTTGAATGAAACAGAAACGTATCCACATTTTCAAATTTTTTAATGTTGAAATAAATCGGAATTACGCGTATTAGTTAATAATTTGTCATTTTTATGTAAGCCTCAATGTTGTTATGCATCATGGCTTCCAGCCTACCGAGGAAGCAAAATAATCGAAAATTAAATAAAACTAGCTAGTCAATCGTCAGAGATACGTTAACTGAATGAAGTTAAAAAGTTAAAAAATCAGGTTTAAGGCATATTATTTACTGACACAATAGTGGTAAGATCAAGAAGATTTAATGATGGGTTATATTAGTTACATTAGGGAAATCTTTGAAACTACTTAAAAACTACAACGTCACAAACTAGAACGTAATAACATCAATCAGCCCGCAAGTTCTTCAGAAAACTCAATAGATCAAAATTAATTGAGACTGAAATATTTTAAAACTACTACGTTAAGAAAAATACAATTTTAAGATCAATTAAATCTGATTAATTTATGCTTATGTTTTCAAGTTCTGGGAGTATATACATTATACTAGGAACTTTCAAATCATTATCTCTTTATTTACCACAATAAGCCCGTTTAATACCTTAAATAAACCTCAAACGTTAATATGTTGCTGCTTGCTCAAAAAATGCCATCAAGGTTATTTTTTTTTGTTTGGCAAAATTGTCTAATTTAAACTGATGGGGCTTATAGGCAATACTAGACGGTTATTGTCTAGTTATGTTGCCTTTATTTTACACTTTATTAATTGATATAATAATTGCATTGTATTCTTTTTTACTAGCCCATCACTTTTGGTTTATATTAACGATTTTATCTTAATTATGAGTCAGTCATTCAATCTTAGTCACAGGGAACACACACACTGTAATTCCGGTTCGGTCCATGAACACTATCGTTGGAACCAAATGAAGTTTTTTAAAAACGGAGTTTGAAGTTCCGAATACATAATTGACGGTTATTTTGTCTGAAAATATATATGTAATTTTAAAATCATTCTATTAGGATCATTAACACAAATTGAAACTGTTTGTTTAACCCCTTGTGTGCCAGTGGTTCCTCTGTGGAACCATAACTCAAATAACAAATATCTGTTGGACAAGTACGCGCCGGATGGAGGTACATCATATTACAGTTGCGTGGGGGATATCCGCCTCGCGACATTTGTGTTCAGCTCTATTTACGCCTGTAACCCGCTTTGTTTATGCATTCCAATTTGCTAGTAGCTACTCATTTCCCGCGCATTTATTTTACACCCTGTGAAATTTAATAAACCATGGCAGGTGAGTCTTTAGTTATTTTCATTTATTGATGTACACCCAAGGTTTATATGCTATAAAGCTGAAATTCTTTAGAAACTACTTATATATTTTTGAGGTTATGTATTGTGGTTCCTCATGGGACCACTAGTACGCGAAGTATATTCTATAAATGAGAGTTTTTTCAATTTCAGATAAGCAGATATCTGAATTAGAAAATCTGTCAGCAGAGGAATTCTACAAGTTCTTAGATGAAATTCCTTCAGATAACGAATCGGTACAAACGGATTGCCATAGTGATGAAGAGGAAAATTTCGATCTGACACAAGATGAAAATTCAGCTAAACAGGCCGCTTTAGCGTTGGATAACAGCGATGATAGCTTTGACTATGATTAAGAGGATAATTTACCGTTATCAACTTTTCTGCCATATCTAGCGGCAGTACCAAACTTCCATTGGTCGAAAAATGTGAACAGCTTTGTTACAAAGATTCCTTTCACTGAATCATGAGGTCCTAATGGTTTTCCGGACAATGATGAGACTCCGCTACAGTTTTTCATGACTTTATTCTCTGAAGAACTTTTTCAAGAAATAGTTTTTCAAACAAATCTGTACGCCATTCAAAAGAATGTTGGTAACTCACATGTGCCTACAAACTTAGATGAAATGTTTTCTAGGCATAAATATTATGATGGGGATAAAGTCATTACCAAGCTACAAGGACTTCTGGTCATGACGTCCTGAATTACGTGATAATTTCATTGCTTCGTGCATGTCGAGAAACCGTTTCAGCTGGTTACTTTCTAACATTCACATAAATGATAACTCCATGGAACCAAAAAAAGGACAACCAGGCCATGATAAATTGTACAAGTTGCGCCCAATGTTGGAAAATTATCACCAAATTTTTTAAAATTTTACAATCCATCACAATGAAAATCAATAGACGAGTCCATGATACGCTTCAAAGGAAGAATATCATTCCGACAGTATATGCCAATGAAGCCGATAAAGAGAGGTTATAAAATGTGGGTTCGAGCTAATGAATCCGGATTTGTTTCACAATTTCAAATATATACAGGTAAAGCTGATAAGGCGTCAGAACGAAATTTGGGTGACAGAGTAGTTACCGATTTGACTAGACAACTATAGTAGTAGGAAAATACCACCAAGTGTACATGGATAATTTTTTCAATTCTGTCCAGCTTCAATATAATTTACAGCAAGACCGAATATACAGTTGCGGAACCACACGAAGAGATCGGAAATGGTTTCCAAAGGACTTGATTGAAGACAAGAACATGCAAAGGGGAGATTTTGATTAGAAAGTTAGCGATACTGGAATCATGGCTCTAAAGTGGAGAGATAACAAGTCTGTACACTTTCTCAGCAATTTTCACAATTCCCATGATGTCGAGAAAATTGCTCGCAAGCAAAAAGATGGTTCGTACCAAGAATATAATTGTCTTAGGCTAGTAAAAGATTACAACCAACACATGGGATATGTTGACAAGATTGACCAGTACAAATCCTGCTACGAAATAAATCGCAGATCTAAAAAATGGTGGCACCGCATATTCTGGCACTTCATAGATCCGACTCTCGACAATGCATTTATTTTTTTCAAAGAAATAAGTGTTGACCTCGGGAGGAATTTGTCTCTAAAACACTTTCGACTTGCAGTTAGCAACATATTGATTGGAGCGGATCCTGAAAAGCCTCAACGAGGAAGGCCCAGTTCGGATGCTATTGTTAATAAATTCAAGCCACACATTGCTCTATAAAGAAGGATTAGTAAAGCTGCGCATATGTCGATCCATGGCAATAAAGTTAGATGCGCTAACTGCAGTACCAGAAATGAACCTCACAGGACCAGATGGCACTGCTCTTCTTGCAATGTTGGGTCGTGCCAGATAAAAGAAATTGCTTCCTCTTATTCCATAAGAAATAGTTTATCTTTAGTTTGTGTGACTCTAGTACGCAATGTTTTTATTCAAGAGTTTATTATTCTTTTTGATTTTTGTTTTCTGAGTAAATAATATTTTATTTGAAATACATTATTTTTACAAAAAAAAAATGCTTTATTTTCCTAGAGGTTCCAGCATGGAACCATATTATTATGAAAAAAACAGAATATGTAGGGTAGTTTTTTATGAAAGTATGACCTAATAGTTATTTGTTGATATTAACTTTTCAGAAATTGAACAGATTTTGAAAAAAAAAATAAATTGGGCCACAAAGGGTTAACACGTTCAGGGACACCTACGCCGTACGGCGTCGTGCTGTTTTTGATAAACTACTACTCAACGCATTACGGCGTCGAACGGTTTCTTGATCCCTGAAACAGTACGCATAGCGGCGTCCAAGTTTTCATTCAAGGTAACCATACTATCAACCTGACTGTCACAAGTTAACAACACAAACAAAAAGTAGTGTCATTTTTTAGGCGTCTTTGCGTCGTAGCAAGTCTTGTATGCATCCAAGTTGTGTATGTATCAGAACGAAACACTTTGTTTATGCAAAATGTAAGTATTCCCACTACGTTATAATTGTAATTACACCATTTCGTGGGTCGTAGGGTATGAGTACTGTATGATTATGTTACAAACCGGCAGGCTATAGTAAAATTTGAAAAGATATTTGAGGTTAAGTTTATAACAATAAAGCAATTAGTTTTCCTACAACAATACCAACGTGGCATATTTCTTTCAGATGGATCCTTTTGAAGATGATGGTGAGTTTGGCTCCGATGAGGACTATGTGCCTTCCGAAACAGGAGCAGAACTGTTTCATCAGATACAGATAATCAGAATCTAGACGAAATGGAGGATGATAGTGACCGTGAGGGTGGACTTTCAGCACCAGGGGAGGAAGCCGCCGACGGCAATGAATCAAGTGACTGGGAAAAAACAACGGCACCTATACCAGACTTCAATTTTGACGTAACCAGCAATCAATGTAAATATTCCTCTCGATGCAAGCTCAACACCACTAGAGGTATTCGAGAAAATTTTTACACCGCAGATTATGGAATATATTCTGGAATGCTCAAATAACTATGGTAATGCCTTAGCCAACGCAAACCGACCAAAAACAAGATATAGTAGAGATGCAAGATTTCGTCCTATCACAGTGGAGGAGATAAAGCAATTTTTTGGACTATGTTTGCTACAAGGTCAAATTTCAACAAGAAATATGAGACGCTATTTCTCCTACTCTGATCCACTCTACTTCCATAATGTATTCAGTTTTGTAATGGCTGGACGACGATTCGAGCAAATTTTGAGGGTAACTTACTGCTGTCCATCAAGCTCTAAGCGCAAAGACAAAGTCCAAACTTTGATGGATATGCTCATCTCACAGTTCCAAAATGCCATGGACCAAATAAAGAACTATCGTTGGATGAAAGTTTGTTGCATTTTCGAGGTAGACGTGCATTTAGAGTGTACATAAAAGGAAAGAAAGATAAATATGGTATAAAATTTATTGAGCTAACAAGTTCTGATGGTTATGTCCTCAATATAGAGATGTATAGTGGAGCTGAACATACAGAAGGCAATACGACGAAAATAACGGCTCTTGTACTGAGACTTCTTAAGCCTTATTTGATGAAAGGTCATGAGGTCTTTATGGACAACTATTATAACAGCTGTGAGCTATCAGAAAAACTGCTAAATTTTAAAACACATACAAATGGAACCCTAAGAGCTAATAGAAGGGGTAATCCAAAACAACTCGCAAAGAGAAAACTGAAGAAAGGCCAATATTTCTGGCTACGCAAGAAAAACATTTACATCTCGAAATGGATGGACAAGAGGGATGTGCTAATGATCACATCTAGAAATCATCCCCGCCTCATAATATCGAAGAATAGGTTCGGAAAGGATCAAGTGAAACCGGAGGAAGTTGTGGTGTATAATGAACATATGTCAGGTATAGACAGATGTGACCAAATGACATCTACGTATTCCTCTCCACGAAAAACCATCCGCTGGTATAAAAAAGTATTATTCTATCTTTTAGACTTATAGAAAGTACTGAAAAGAAAACTGTAAAAAGTATACATTCTTGAACTTCAGAGATAGTTTGATAACAGCTTTAATCAAACTGCCAATGAACGCTGACGGGATCAATTTGGTTAGAAAAAGAAGGTTCGAGTCCCAACAAACTATCGAAACAGAAGAGAGTGCTGTACCTGAGAAAAAAGATTGACCCTGGCCTGAAAAAATTCCAGACGTTCCTGGACCAAAATCGGGGAAGAAGTCCGTGTTTCTGAAATGCAAACTATATATGTAATATGAAAAATACGCGCAAGGAAACTAGCTATAGATGTAAAGGGTGCAATGGTAAGCCAGCTTTATGCCCAAGTTGTTTTGAGGAGTGGCATGATAAATCAAATTAACTAAATGTTGCCAAGCTTCCAATAAAAATTAAGTTAAGCGCATATCGGCGTTCTGTCTAAATGGCATTATACTAAATGACTATTTGTGACACTACGCCTATCTGCGTAAATTTTTTTTTGTGAAATGTATTTTTTTAACATCTTTGTGTATGGATGGAACCTAAATGCTAGGGGAAGAAATAATTAAGATCAAGGTTTTCGAGAAAGGCCAACTGTCACATCGGTGAAAAGTCAGGAATTCGGGGTTGTCCGTGAACGTGTTAAAACACGTTATTCGATAGGGTAAAATTACTACGATTTCATTACGATATGGTATTAACAGTAGTTTATACACCTTAGCCTATTAGTAATAAATGCCTTAACCTAATATTTACTTCTGAATTACTATTGTTGTACTCCGCACTTTAGAGTAAAGGCAAACGCTTGGAAGTAAATAATATCTTTTTATATTAATCCAGCGGTTTTTACCTATTTTGCAATCGAATTAACGTTGTAACATAAATATAAGTTAAAATGTTTGATGGGATCTTTCATCTCAAGTTTTCCAGTAAATGTGTGTTATGCCCTTTTTTCGTCTTATTGTTAAATATTTATAATCGGAAAAAATATTTTAAATTGTTAGTTCATCTTACTAAGACCTAAACATGTATTTTTTATTTATTTTTTACTTTTTAGTATCTATGAAGTCAAGTAACCATTTTAGTAATTTCAATCTAAGTTTCATATATTTTATCAGTAGGACTCCATGAAGTTTCTCACTTTATTTGTACTATAACATTTTGATACCTATGGTATAGACCATAGAAATTATAAATCGCCATTCAGTGACAGCCGACATATTGGGTTTGCCGTGTGGTGTTTGTGTTTCTCTAATCGTTTTCATTTGATACCCATATAGGAGTGACTATTGAAATAACATATTCTTAACATATAAACATTGTTTGTTTAAAATTTTGTTGTAAATGTCGTCTATAAGATGGGACTGTTGCTATTTGATGTTCAGTGTCTCCTCACTGTTATGTTTTTTCGGAATATTAACATCGTTCGCTTCAAGCTTTTCTACATCTTGGTGTGGTGTGAATCATCCAAAATCAAAGCATCACCTGACTGTTTTACTTTTACTAGTGAGAGGATAAAACAGTTGGACGACAGCAATATCGTCCCTTTAGTGCAACAACTAGATAACTTGAAATTTCGCTATTTTGATTTATTTACTTGAAACTAATCTATTGTATATACTCTTTTCAATGCAATGACTAGATATCTCCTAGGAATAATGAAATTCTGTTTATAGAGTGGTAAAAAATATATAACTCTCAAAACAAGCAAAATGTACATGCTTCAGCTAGACATCTAAAGATACCCAGTTGTTGCACTAATATTATGAAGTTATCCGTCCATACCTTCTTGGACTGTGTGAGATATCTAGTTCTGTGGCTGAACCGACAGGTGCGTTTTAGTGTTGTTAGCCAGTTATTCAGTGTTTTTGGACCAGTGTTAACATAAAAATGACGTCAGGAGGGAAGAAAATGCTAGATATTCTACGAAGGCAATCAGAAAACATCTCAGGTATGCTATGAAATACTCAAAAATACAAATAATGGGCTTTAGCTAAAAAGTGAGGTTATGGAATCACTTAATTGTACATTCATTGATTTTATATGTGATTTTATCCATATTTCCAAATGTGGCAACCTTTCTTAAAAGTGCCATATATTGTTTCAGGTACCAATGAGCCTAGACCCACGGTTGCACGATCTCCTTTACATAGGAATATTGTAGAATCAGATGTAGAGCCATTATCTTCCGACCATTCGGAATACTGTCCAAGTTCGTCAAGTGAAACTTCCTGAAAACCTAACCACCAACAAAGAAGCGCAGCTTGATGGTATGGAAGAAACTCCTACAAGGTCCAAAAAAACTAGAGAAAGGATGAGGAATCCGAATGAATGGAAAAGAAATATTGCAAAACGAAAAAACAATGTTATGTTTCCAGTAGAGGCAAACACGTTCCCGGAGTTTGAATTCACTACTGTTCTTAAGCAACTCAGATTTTCTTATAGCTGATTTTGTCGCATCAGTTAATTTCTTGATTCATCAAATGATACTTTTTTTAGGATGCTTGGACCATCGATTTGGGGTGTTGACTGTTTCGACAAGCCGGATGTAGAGCCTTCCGCTATTCTTTTGAGTTGCTTAGTAATGGGCTCATATACCTGCTGCAATGCACTATCATGGAATTCACGTCCTTTCTTGATAGCAATAAATTTCTTCTGACTCTGCTGCATCTACTAATTCCTTCTTGAGTGCCAGTTCGGTGTTATTCTGCTGCCGTTTCGTTTTGCTATCTTTAATCCACCGCGATGCGTACTAGATGCAGTCCCACGGTTGATTGATGGTATTTCCAGTCTTCCAGTGGATTTAAGAAACTATCAATCCCCTTCTGGTAACGATCACTTGTCAGTTCGCTATCCTTATCGATGACTAAGAATCCATATTTATTGCTCCAGCACATTGCACACATGTCTTAAAATTGCTTAAAGGTCATATCAGATGCTACGTGATCGAAAAAAACATGAGATACATTTGTTATTGAAATTCGAAATTGAAATTGAAATTGAAATTCTTTATTAACGCATATAGCATTTAAATATAAATAACAACACAAAATATAAAATCATTAATGGTGCATGATCACAAGATGGCGGTCTACAATCTTAAACACTACTAGATACAACAAGACCAATTATTACTGTACTACATTTCTCACTTTATTCGCAAAAATCCTAAAACTATCATTGAAAAAGTCAATTTTATTGCACTTCTGCACTACACTATTTGCTTTCATACACATTCGAGTTATAGGAGAATTCACACCATAATTTGTCCTATGATATGGAATATGAAATAATGACTTAATTCTTGACTCCCTTGACGGTATATGAAAACCAACCAGAGCAAGGAGATCAGGTGCATTAATTTGATTTTTAATGATCTTAAAAAGTGCGCAAATATCAAACATATCTCTTCTGTTTACAAGTGGCGTTAAGTTCGGTGGAGTCATTAGGTCCTGACAATTAATGTCATCATAAGGAATGCCAAGCTTTAGCCCTATTCTCTTAAGAAATTTTAATTGGATTCTTTCAATACTATCTCTGTGCACAGCATAATAAGGATGCCAAACAGAGCTGGAATATTCAAATAGTGATCTTACTAAAGCACAGTAGACATCTCTCACAATAAAAACATTATTGACGTCCCTAAGACTCCTAAAAACAAATCCCAAAAGACGCATAGCTCTTGATGTTATTTTCTCAATGTGAGACACAAATGTTAACTCACAATCAAGCCACACATCCAAATCCCTTACTAGGTTTGTTCTCTGTAAAATTGCATTGTTTAGTGAGTACTCAAAAGCTATTGGATTTTTAATTTTACAGAAGGTTATAACTTTACACTTATCAATATTTAGCATTAAGTTATTTACATTGCACCAATGAGAAAACCTATTTAAATCTTCTTGCAAAGCGAGGCAATCACTCGTATTTCTAATAATCTTAAAAAAATTTAAATCGTCCGCAAAGCCAAGAAAAAGACAATTAACAAAGATATCCTTAATATCATTCACAAAAATATTGAATAGAAGCGTAGACAAATGGCCTCCCTGGGCAACACCCGATGTAACACTAATTTCTGAGGATATATGGTTTTTGATCATGGTATCTATCTGTTGCATTACTCTCAAGCCATTTAAGTAGAGTGCCATGTATGCCAATTGACCTCAGCTTGCTTACCAAGATACCATGATCAACTCTGTCGAACGCCTTTGAGAAATCAGTGTATACAGCATCCACTTGATATTTATTCTCAAAGGCATTCAACAGAAGGTGCTCATAGGTTAGGAGATTTGAGACAGTTGATTTTCCCTTAATAAAGCCATGCTGCTCATTAATTATAATATTCCTGACACATGGAAATATTTTGTCACAAATTATGGACTCAAAAACCTTAGCAATAACTGAGATCTTAGAAATAGCTCTATAATTTTTTATATTTGACTTATCCCCTTCCTTAAAAACCGGTGTTACATATGACCTCTTCCAGACAGTGGGGAAAATACCCGTGACAAGTGACAAGTTAAAAATTTTACATAAAACATCAGATAAAACACATTTACAATTTTGTAATAAAATTGTCGGAATTCCATTAGGACAAATTCCTAAGTTAATACTCAAGGACTCAATTTTATTAAAAACTTCTATAGAAGATACACTTAAACTGCTTAAATTAGTACATTTGTCAGACTTAAGTTCTACGTATATCTTTGCCTTGTGCTTATTGTCTGTGAGAATGGGTGATTACAGTGTGAATTTCAACCCCGATTTGCTTGCTGAAATGGTTGGGGCGCTTTCGTTCGAACTAAACTCCTCGAAAGTTGCGTCCCAATTTGTACGCAAGTCTCTGGACCTTCAGTACGGGTTTGCCTCGGTCCTTTCTGAGAAATTGCTAAAATCTGTGTACTTATTTGACCTTACCTCTAGGTTTGACCCTCAGAATGTCGAACCTAGGGTTGAGGATGGTATAAAGTACCTATGGAATCGGCAGACCGGCGAAATAGCGGTACTTTCGCAAGCGGCCCAAACTGTGTTCAATACAGCTGAAACGTATTTGCGGTATCTCGGTCCCAGAGATGACATAATCTCCACAGTCAACACCGTGATGCTGGAGCATGAGCATCCTGGAGATTGCGGGATTGCATATCCTGATTGAGTGAGGAGTGTGCTGTGCTGGGGTTTTCTTTGCCCGTTCTTCCCAGCATTAGTAATCGAACGTGGTGGATAATTATTCATGGGGGTGCTGTACTGGGTTTCTTACCCGTTCTTCCCAGTATTAGTAATCGAACGTGGTGGATAAATATTTTCGTTTTAAATTTGTTTGGTTTAGCTTTTCCAAATTGTTATACCTGTTTTCTCATTAATTCATATTGGTTTCTTTTATTTTCTTTTTGTTTCTTTGACTTGCAATTTTGATTAATACAGGAGCCCTGCTTTTCTGAATATACAGAAGAGAAATGCTGTTTAAACATCTCTGTGATTATTTGTGGATCATCTGTTTCAACATCGTTAAGACACATGGATTTTGGATATTCAAGATCCTCCTTTTTGGAATTGACAAATTTCCATAAGGACTTTTTATCATGTAGTTGGCCTTCAAGTGTTTGAATAAATTGTTGATATGAACTCTTGGATAAAATGCTACATTGTGATCTTAATTTTGAAAACTTTATATAGTTTTTTTCTGTTTTTAAGTTTTTAAATATTTTGTGAGCCATTTTCTTTTGAATTATTAGATTTTTTAATTCATGATTCATCCATTTTGGAAATTTAGATGTTTTAAATCTGGAAACTGGTGTAAATTGAATAAAAATTTGATCCAAGATTTCATAAAACATAGAAACTAACTACAACATTGACATCATCACATTCAGACAAAAAGCTCCAGTCAACAAATGACAGACAAATATTTATTTGGTTAAAATCTGCAGACTTATGATTTAGGTAAAAGTAATGACACAATGGGGATATGTCTGATTTATTAAGATTAAAACAACACTCAAATGCTGGATGCGGTAAATCATGTTTTAACAAAGGTTGGGGACACACATTAACATTTACATTTGGATGATTACAGAACATTAAATCTAGAAAGTTTCCATAAGCATTTGGTATAGTTATTAGCTGGTATAACCTTAGTTAAGCAATACAGTCTACAATGGCTGTTAGCTTCGCTTCTTAACAGTCCCGTAGGAACTGACCCACTTTCATACTTTGCACGTTATCACAAATTCCGGTCAGAGATCATATTTTTTTACGTGGACTGAGGATATTGCCAATAGAGGCAGCAATGAGATTGCTAGCTGCCTGTTCAGGTTTTGTAAAATATTAAAAGAAAAAAGCCCTGAAATCAAACATTTAATTATATGGTCGGACTCCTGTGCAGGACAGAACAAAAATTTCGTGATGCTTGGCCTGTTCCAATACCTAGTTTCAAATAAGTATTTTCAAATAATAGACCATAAGTTTCCTGAAGTAGGCCATAGCTTCTTGGACTCCGACAGAGACTTTGGCCGAATCGAAAAAGTTCTAAGGAAACATAAAAAAATACTGGTACCAGATCAATATCGATAAATAATACAAACTGCCAGCACAAAAAACAGCATGTGTTTTAATATTTATAATTTCGAGGAAGTTCCTGGAAAATTATATTTATTTAAAAAACAAACCAATACGCTGGGTCAGAAGATATGCCTCCGTGATGGTGTGAAGTGGATTCGTGTGAGCGAGTTTGGCGTATATCATTATAAAACCTGCTTAAATGAATACACTCCATTTTTAGAAGTTGATTTAAGAAAAAAAAAGTCACAAAACCAACACCCCGAGTTCCACCCAATCAGGATAATAGATAAGGTTGGAGGTTTAACAATAGAAAAAATTCAGAATCTGAAAGAACAAGTAAAGTATGTGGATGAAGAATACAGATGGTATTATGTAGATATAATCCAGGAAAGCTTGTCACGTCCAAAGAAGAAGCGAACGACGCTTTGAAAACATATTTTTCAATATTGTATACTTTTTTAATGATATGTGTAAAGTAAAAAGATACTTCACACCTCTTTGCACGCACTTGTTATTCCACTACAATTCACTTTTCAGTCGATAAAAGAGTTATGTGCACTTTTTTCAGTTTTTTTTGCAAAACTATTAATTTTTTGGTGTGTTGAAGTAAATCCCATAAAAACGATGTACTTCAACATATCTAATAAGTGAACTCAATCAAAATCATATGATCAAGAAAAAAGTTCCAAATCAAAACACGTTTTCCTTAATATCTCCCAACATGAATTTTGTGACATAACACCTTTATCCACTTATGTCTTCATTTTGTACCTTCAAAAACAACTGAACGATTTGAACAAGCTGAAGTTAATGATGCTCTTGTGATAAATAATGATGATAATTCCAGGTTATTAATAGAAAACGAGGATTCAGAGTCCACTGATAATGAATCTGAAATACCTCTAAATGTGTTGGCTCAAAAAATAAAATCTGTTACTACACCTGAACATACCATATCAAATGAAACACTTAAGACTTCCATAAACGGTCATAGAGAGACACATAAACGACAGCTGTTTTTAGAAAAAAACACTTCAAATGAGCCCCTTCCTACCATTTGGAACATAAGGCCAATTGCAATATCCGAGCGGTCCTCTAACCCTGGAAAAAAGATGCCATCTTCTGTCATAAGTGGCACCCCAATGAAATTACAACTAGAACAAAAACACAAGGAAATTGAAGAAAAAGGGGAGAAGAAAAAACTAAGACAAGAAAAGAAGCGATTGAAAGAGCAAGGGAGGAAACCTTCACTTCAAGAAAATAGAGCACAAAAACGCCGCAAAAGATTATTGCCCAGTGCAGCTGATGTTGCAGTACCCAGTGCTGTCGATCCCACTGCTCCAGATATTTCTGGTCCCAGTAGTGAGATTTATGTATGCCCTGCATGTAACGAAGAATATAGTGACTCACCAACTGAAGACTGGTTGCAATGCTATCATTGCCTATCATGGTGGCACGAAGCATGTAGCCGATATCAGGGTCATGGAAGATTTTATTGTGATTCTTGTGAATAGTCATCTTACCCCAATAGGTAAGTTGACGAAAATGGTGTTTTTTGTTTTTTGGTGAAAATTCGTTCATATTTTCTTATTTTTAGTAAGATTGACATTACACAGAATCATAAACATGTTTGTATTTACATGCATTAAACTCTTAAATAAAGTTACTTCCTTTGTATTGCCTTTTTTTCTTAGTATCGTCATCTTACCCCGATCCCCACTACTAAATGCCGGAAATCTTTTAGGCAGAGAAGACCCTAAAATCTTTACAAATGAAAATTTATTAGAGGAAGAAGGCCCCTATGACGTTGACGACCCCGACTGGCAACCTAAAGAAGATGATGTTGCGATAGATGAACAAGCCGATGAGCTTCCAGATGATAACAGGCAGGGGCAAAACGAACAGGCAAATAAAAATCGGCGATCTCGAGGAAATGTTCCACATCCTGATTATTCGGAAAAAATACATCTAAAAAAAGAATATTGGAATACTCAAAAATTGATGGATTTGTTAAGCATAATGTCCAAAGACCTGGGGGAAAATTGAAGGAAGGTTGCAAAAAGGGTTCTTTCTGCAAAAGTACTTTATGAGCCAAGAAAGGTGGTATGGTAATGGGGCATCTAGAAGACATGGGTCTTTTTTGTATTGTCTTCGTCTAAATAATGATAATCTGTAGTAAGTATGTAAGAAAATGTTTCTCGCAACATTAGATAACAAAAAAAATTACTCACAAATGGGTTCTTAATAGCTTAAGTCACGGACTATCTAACCGAACAGAAGTGGAAAATAACTAGAAAAGTATAGAACGAAGTCGCTCTAGATATTTTGAAGATATCAATAATCAAATCCAATTTTTAAAACATTTTTTTGATCTTCTTCCAAAGATGGATTCACATTATTGCCGAAAGGATTTTCAGTAAAAATATCTAGAACATCCTTTTCAAATTCAGGCCGAAGTTTATGAAATTTATAAAAAAATGTGCCGAGGAAAATCAAAAAATTGTTTCAATTACAACTTTTAATAAAGTTTGCAAGATTTAAATCTGGCTATACATAACCCGAAAAAAGATCAATGCGATACCTGCCTTCAGTACGCCAAACAGCTTAGCCAAGAAGATTATGAAACACACATCAAAAGGAATAATTTGGCTCAAGAAAAGAAAGCAAAAGATAAAGAGGAAGCAATTAAGAAAAGTCAGTACACTTTTACTATGGATGTACAATCTGTAAAGTTGTGCCCTATGATAGAAGCTAGTAAAGCTTATTACGAAACTAGGCTACAAGTGCATATTATCATTTCAATCTTTGTAGGTCATCTTCATTTTCGGCTATTATTATGGCGTCGTCGGCGTAGCATATTATCTGCATTTCCTTTTCTCTCATTCTATATCCTATTCTTTTTTTAACTTTCTTCATGATTTCATCCATTATCGGATTAAATATTAGTGGGCTCAGCGAATCTCCTTGTCTAATGCCAGTTTCGTACTTGATAGGTTGCGAGAGTTTTCTTTTACATCTTACCATAGCTATGTTATCTTTATATATATTCTCAATAGCTTTTACTAAATCCAGTGGTATTCCCCTGTCATATAATAAATGTATCAGAGAATCCAAGAGTATTTCATGAGAAAGCTATCCCAACTAACAATTTTCACTCCTATTAAGGTTGTAAAGACGTTTATGCAGTATTTCTTATACAGCATTTCAAGCTGCAAGAACACTAGCAAAATGTTCTTACAACAGCTATACACATGGAATGGGCACACCATATAGAGCATTTCAGTCTGAAGAGGTTGTACAGGGTGGCCCATAAGTCCTTTGAGCTGGAAAAAAAGGAATAAAACCAAACTAGTTACATTATGAAGAATTATTATATTTTGTTATCATCTTTATTGAATGGGAATTATGTTTCAAAAATCACATCGTCTGAATGCAATCCATTACGATCACGGCACTCATATAAACGACGTCTAAAATTGTCGATGACTGCGCGGCAAGTCAACACTGTAATGCTTGCCATTTCTCCTCGGATATTTTCTTTCAGGGCATCAACTGATCGCGGAGTGGTATCGTACACTTTACTCTTGAGGTAGCCCCATAAAAAGAAGTCCATTGGGGTCAAATCTGGACTACGTGGTGGCCAGGAAATGTCTCCTCTTCGAGAAATTACTTTG